TAGTAATTAAAATTATTTTTTCGAATTTATACTTTATCAACATAGGAAAAGTTACACATATACCGCTTCATAGCGAACGTGAACGAAAGTATGTCTGGAAATAAAAGCGATAACCAGATAAGTGTGCAGCGTGTTTCGAGATAAAAAGCTAGTGAGGCCGGTGCGGGGTTTGAGTTAGACCGTCAACGAGCACGTACCCATTTTTTTGTGTGCTACAAAATTATTCTTCGTTTTAGCTTCAAGAGCGATCGCGTATATGTCGAGCGCTGCATCTTTCGATCGGGTGCTGATTTTTTGGCCGGTCCTTTGAGTCAATAGACTCTCATATTGTCTCATATCGTGTAATAGCATAATGGAGTGGTATATAAAAAATGTAATTAAACAACTGGAAATTGCAGAGAAGACATTTATAAAAATTATTTTAAAAAAATTCTAGATACAAGTCCGACAGAATGTGCAGAAAACTGAAGATCTTTTAATTTTGTCAAATTTATTTATTTATTTATGTTGCCTTTATTTTTAAGTGGGCGTTGGTTTCAGCCAAGGCTGCTCTACCAACCCACTGCATTACACTCATCCAGTATCGACGAAACTGCGTTTTTAAACAAACAGAAATAACAATTACTTGGCAATATTAGCGTACCAAGAAACACACGCTCTTTAACGCGTCGTGACCTATTTAAGGTAAACCATCACCATTAGTCCATCAAACTCATACTTTCGGATCCTAATGGCCATAAAAAAGCACGTGCATTAATTAATCTATACTCTATTTATTTTAAGAAGATAGCGGTAGAAAGCATAGGGAATCTTTGACCTTCACTGTGTTTCGTAAAAACACGAGTCAGTATTACGCTGAAAAATAAAAATCGTGTCGAATTTTGTAAGCTGGTAGTTTCTGTTGCAAACTAAATTGTCAAACTGTCATTAGCTGTTAATGTCAAAATCCTAAGCGTGCAATCGTCTGATTTACTTCTGTTTGGAGTACTAGATATTTCTACTTTACAATAATTTGGTGCCGTTTTATATTTTTCCAGTGTGTATCCTTTGAATGTACTCTTGGTTTGTGTAACTGACTGCATGCGCTCTTAGTGTGTAGGGAGAAGTCGGTACCATTGTCATTGATATGACCTTCACCTTTGCTTTTGTCGTGGTAATGATCTTTGCGAAGAATGTCGATTTAAATTGAAAAATTGCAGTCATCACGCTAAAATTGTTAAAGCTAATTATCTAAGCGTCTTTACACGAATGGACAAGCGCTGTCATCCTCAGGGAAAGTTATTTTCATGGAATTCCTATTTGTTAACACGTTTCGTTTTAGGTTGTACCATATGTGTTCATTACGAAGTTAATTCCTTATCCTTGTTTTATCTATATCGTAATCTGAAACCCATTTATGGAGAATTAATTGGAATTATTTAGGTCTGATTTTTCACATTATAGTTTTCTTTGTACGTTACGAGCATTGGGGTTATTGTGTTAAAGAAGTACCTACCGTGTTCTGGATAAAATACAAATACTCGCTTTCGAATTGAAGAATGCTGCCGATTAGCTGGAGCTGATCTATTACATTATTATTATTATTATCTATTATATTATTCGAAGAATGCAAATGTTTATCGGAAATACCGGAAGTTGTAAACGTGGAGGTAACCTGTAATTGATTTTGTCGTGCCATACTTTTACCAATCTCGTGACGAATTGCTCTGCAATTGATATTTTGAATACAAAAGTTGAAGATGTGTGCTTAATGATATTCTTTAACGCGAGGTAATTCAGTTAGGGAATTTGTTTATCAGAATTGCTAACTTCGTATTATTTACTGTTTTATGAAATTATAATATATATTATTTGTGTATCTGGATGGTTCATTGCTAAGACAAAGGTTATACTCACTGGTACCCGAGGATTCACAAAGCTTGCTTTCTTATTTTTAGCGCATTTCCACAAAAATTAAAAAAAATGCGCTATTGTGGCCACTTTGTCCGTCCGTCCGTCCGTCCGTCCGCTCGTTTTGCGACGCTACTAGTTCTTTATCTTAAGAGCTATTGTTCTACTTTTTTCGCTATTTGGTTCGTTATGGTGTCGAGTCTTGTACCAAGGAAGGAATTTTTTCTGTACCGCTTACAAAAAAAGTTATTGTAAAAAAAACAAAAAACCGTTTTTAACATGTTCCATAATTTTACACTTTTGCCGTTTATTAACGATCCTAGAGATCGTTTATAATTTTGCATTGCTATCTGTCGTCTGCCTGTTGGTCTGTTCCTTTGTCTGTCTGTCCATCTATCTGTCCGTGTGAACGATAACTTTGTTTAGAAATGTTCGATCGCTTTTACATCTCCGTTAGTTATGAAACTGAATTGCATGAAATTCAATATGGGCATAGATTTAGCCATATAATACGCAATGCCAAAAGTTGGATCGAATCGATTCAAAATTCACAGTGCCCTTTTCGCATCTCGACCATTTTATAAACCGAATTGCAAACTTTTTTACTTATAAAAGTATTTGAATGAAATTTGATACATAGGCACT